AAATGGGAATAAATTGCTCTACCAAATATTGTGCAATGTTGGCAGATATTTACAGTATCTGAAAAAACTTGCAGCTATAATTGCTGCCATTGTGTGCTGCTTTGCCTCATTTAAAGACCATCACAAATTCTTTTGTTTTATTGACATTTAGTTCCATGTTATTTAGGCTCCACCATCCAACTAATTCAGCTACTTCATTCCTGAATATTCCTGTTCATACTTCATTCATTGTTTGTGATAAGCCATACGGTATGAGATGAGTATCCTTAGAGAACTTAAACATTTTGACTGAATGTGAACATGAAATACAGTGATTTGTGTACTTATAAATATAGTATAAATATTATCATATTTATATTACATTACATATTAAATTCTAAAAAATGTGTATGATGTTTTATAATTAACGCAAAATTAAAAACCCATAGAAAGGGTGTGAATACCTTTGCAAGGCACTATATGTATAAATTAGGAGACATATGAGGAACATAAGAATGGTTATAAATAAGAAAGGGCCATTCAGCCCAGCTAGTTCATTTGTTTTTCAGTAGCTTTATCCAAGGATCCCATCCTATAACACTATTGGATATTCTTGTAAAAACAATACCAAAAAAGCTCATGAAGAACTCTGTAGTTATTTGTTAGGACTTTCAGAAAGGTTCAGCAGAATTGTATCTGTACGTGTGATCATGAGTTCAAAACTCTTCCCAACATAGACAGTCTGATAGGCCAGACTTCAAAGTGCATTGGACTTACAGGCAACCTTCTGTTTTATATTTATGATCCACTCCCAGAGTAGGACTGGTTTAACCCTTGGTGACCGGAAACACCTTAACTTCAACAAAATAACGAGACACACTGCTGATTAAAATTCTGCTTGGTCATCAGAGGTTTAACCAATGCAGTTTTACATTTTAGCCTGACAGTGATCTAAAGCACTAAGCGTACTATACAACAAAGCTTTTGAAGTGTAAAAAGATGAAAGAGCTGATCTCAATCACCTGATTTGAGTCAATTATAATGTTCTGAATGGAAATGACTGCCAGAAAACTCACCAATTAGAATGTATGGAATGTACCCCTGATCACGTATGTTCTATTTCTTTGTGTATATTGTACTATAACAGGACAGCAGGACCTGGAGTGTCAAAAATTAGCTAAAACACCGGAAGATTATATCACTTTATTGGCCATATACAATTTCTTGTATTAGGAATTTGTCTATTCACATACGCCAACTTGCTCTCCGTGAGAGACACAGACAGGGAGAGAAGATTGGGGTTAGAGCGCAGGGTCAGCCATTTATATCACACCTCTGGAGCAGTTGGGGTTAAGGGCCTTGCTCAGGGGCTCAACGGAGTAGGATTACTCCTACCGCACCGCAGTTCTGGGGAGAATTTGGAAATGCTACAGACAGCCTGGTCTAAGGCTGAGAGAGAAGAGGGCTGTTTTAGCATGGTGTCAGCTCAGGTTAGAGTGAGACACCAGACACCTGGCGGTGAGACATGTTTAGTGTCTGCTGTTGTTTAAGTGAGACATTCGTTTGGAGTTTCAGAGGGAATTTCAGTCTTAGGTGAGGTGAGTTAATAAGTAGTGAAAAGCTCGAGGTTAAAAGTTTCATCGGGCTTAAAGTTATATGGCTGTAGAGAACAGGGAAAGTGCTCATGGAGTAGCAGCCTCAGCCATTTCCATATCGGCTCAACGGGAAAAAGAAGAGCGAAGAAGAAAATGTGCGGAGCAAGACCAGCCAAATGGAAATGACATCTGGATGAGCTGCTGGCCAGGGTTACATATATGGCAGGTACTGTTGTTAGTTTCATTTCCTGTTCCAGTAAGAGGAGAGATGAAACCAGTATAGCATTAAGATCTACCAGCCTTGCTGTGCTGCTGTATATCCGCTGTTTGAATGTATGTCATGTGTCTGGCATAATAAACATTTGTTTGCTCTTATATGCGTATTTCATCACCTTCATTAAAACCCACACTAACAAACTGTATTTTTAGAAGCTGGTAATAATAAAATAATTAAAACTGTATTTAGTGACTGCAGTAATTTTCAAAAATATGTCAGGTAAAATAAATCAAAGCAGTTATTAAATTAGTTTAAATTAAACTGGTGAAATAAATTAGTAAAAAAACAGCACACACTTTCAGTCACAGGTTATTTTGTGGGTTGAAAAACTGAAGGTCAACCTTTAGGTTTCACAAGCGGATAATGTCCAGAAATAGACTGAAAATGTCTACCATTTAAAGTAAACTACATTACACACTCAGGCTTTTTTCTCATCTTGAAGTCTTATCCTATTTGAAAACAAGGTCCTTGCATCAAGAGAGAAGTATAGTAACCTCTAATGGTATGTGTTCTTATGCATGTGTGCCTGCCGTGGGCTGAGCAGTTTTTCAGATATAGGAATGTCAGACAGATCACATTATTGAATACATGCATTTATGCTTCATAACAAAGTCACTTAATAAAAAAAAATCTGGCAAAAATACAATAAAAACAAATAAAAATTGTATTTGCCTGGTTTCCATTTCAACAGAGTAGAACCATGTCATATTGAAAGATGAAACACACTACGTGCATGTCCAACGTGTAATTAAAACAGAGCACCATGTGGGAGAAAATTCCAAATTAAGTAGGAGAAATATACATCCTTTCTAATTTTTAGCAGTTCTCTTTTGATGACACATGAATTTGTATTTGTAATTTTAATTTTTACAATACCAAATCACAGTGGAAATATTATCCTGTGTAATGTATACATTTGGAACTAACATCAAAGTTGGTTAAATATTTTTTAATTGTTCTTTTGCACAGGTTATCCACATCTAATTATTTCACAAACACAGTACAAGTGAAATCCAATATTATTTAATTGATAGTTACAAAGCAATACTTATGAAACATTAGAGATAATGACCAGCCCTTTCCCAGATTATATCTCTGATACTTTAAAGCACAATAATAAAGTACTGAACTTAAGAGGTTTCTCAGACATTTATTTTTTTTTGTCTCTGATACATTTATGTGAGATTTATGTTGAGCCTTTTTAAAGTTCATTGTTATCATTTTTGTTAGTAATAAGGTAATACACAGCATTTAACAGGAAACATTTAATATTCCTGGCAGACATGACTGTGTTGTGTGTTGTGTGTTGTGTGTGTCACACCTGGAAAGTCATGGGCCCAAATTATGAGCAGCTCCCTGCTGTTGTGCGATCGATCAATGTCCTTCATGAGAAAGCTTCCATTATAAAAGAGCCCGCTGTATAAATGAAAGCATCTGCTAAATAAAATAAGAATAATTTCTGTTACAACTCCTGTTGACATTGTTTCCCTTGGTTCATTTCCTTTATTCAAATATGATGATATTTCTTAGCTGCCGGCAGCATAGCAGGGGAATTTGCCAGTAGCAGGTTTTTCATGAGCAAAAGGAAATGGCTGTGCACAATTTGCACTGAGAACTCCCTTCCAAAAATCAGAGATAGATATGATGTTGTTATGAAATGTCAGTGTTTATTTTCCTTACTAGTGTGTATAAGCTGGGCTTTCCTTTGCCATATTCACACCTTTCAGAGCTGGGACACATTTACTGTAGAACCCCCTGATACATTCCTGAAACATGCCCAGAGAACAGGATAGGTTAGTGCAGATAATATGAGGACCAGAAAGACTTGAGATGGCTTAGTACATAACAAGGAAATTCAGATATGTTTATTTCAGTCTTTTGTGAGAATGCATCAGAGAAAAAGTCTGAATCGCCCTTAAAGTACAGACAATAGCAAATGGTTTCTCTAAACATAGTATAAAACTAAAGGGTTCTGGAAACAGTCAAGTACAGAGGTTTCACCTGAGGGCTATACTGTATTTGTATGAACTGTTGTGCTGTTTTAACGCTATTCCACTGAGCCTAGTGCACCATGATCCTTTAATAAGGTACTCAAACCCCTCCGATTACAAAAGTCCAAAATCAGCCAAATGTCATCTGCTATGAGATACTTGTGCACTTTTGTAAGAGGAATACTATAATAATAATAATAAACTTTATTTTATATAGCACCATTAAAGGTGGCTTCTCAAAGAGCTTTACAGAATGACAACAACAATAAATAAAAAGAATACACAAGATAAAACACAATTACAATACACAGAGGATGGTAGTACTAAGAAAAGCACAGGGGTGAAGAATGGAACCAGTTAAGTAAAGGCTCTTCTAAAGAAGAAGGTTTTGAGTCTGGATTTGAAGGAGTTTAGAGAAAGTGACTCTCTGATATCCTTGGGCAGAGAGTTCCAGAGCTTGGGGGCATAACAGGAGAAGGCCCTGTCACCCATACAATATAGATGGGCTTTGGGGGACAGTTAGGAGACCAGAATTAGAAGGGCGGAGGTTGCGAGGTGGGGAGTAGGGCGATAATAGTTCAGACAGGTACTGAGGTGCCAAGCCATGCAGAGACTTATACTGTAGGTGAACATGAGGATTTTAAAGTCCACACGGAATTTGACAGGGAGCCCTTGCAGTACTACAAAGAATGATAAAAAATAAGGTTCTCAAGTATTTAAAAAAAAACACAAAGACTTTTGTCTTGACATTATTCACACACAAAGTAACATGTCAGTAAATTAGTATTTGTATGTTAGTACAGTATCTGTCTTAAATTCTTCATCTTTTTGGAGGATCACTTATAAAAAGGAAATTCCTGGACTTCAAAAATTGGAAAAAAAAACCACCAATGAAGAAAATCTCTCCACTGGTCTTAATGGAGAAGGATAAAACACTTTTTTAATGTTATTTTTTACTGCAAAACCTGGAAAAGAAGGTTTTCTAGTCCAGGCAGGCTGGACTGAAAGCACAATTACGCAATAGATCCAACTCGTTAAACTACCGCAATGATTATTGCAAACACAAATCTCCCATCCCGCTACACAAAAAGAAAAAGACCATTCTCTAGATCCAGAATATCTTATATCCTGTAGTCTATTTTACTGCCCAGCAAAGTTCGTCATTGTGACGACACGAAACAGGCTGGGGTTGATGCAGTATTAACCTGCGAGTTAAGCAAGAGACCTAATCATCAGGGACAGGCGAGAACAAATACGACAGAAATAAACAAGCATGCATAGGCTTCTGAGTTGCTTCATGGTTTCTTTACGTAGTCTGAAAAATTACGTTGCAGGATAGGCTCGTATACACTTAAACTGCCCCCCAAAGGATTCGGATTTAATTTACTAAGAAAAACGACGATTCAAGTAAAGGGCGGCCAAGAAATTGTTTCAACTGAGCAAAGGGGAGCTACAGAATTATGAATGATATCAAGCTTGCAGTGCTGGGAAGTGAGGGAGTTGGAAAGTCAGGTTATTATTATTATTATTATTATTATTATTATTATTATTGTGCACTTTTAATATTTACAGAAGTTATAAGACTTTTCGTTACAAACTATGTGAGGAGCGAGTGTTCATGTGAAATTAAAAAAAATACTGTTTTTGTTTGACCGCAGCCCTGATTGTGCGATTCTTAACAAAGCGATTTATTGGCGAGTATGCGTCTTCTTCGGGTAAGTAGTATTTTGATTATTTAAACGACTTGCTTTCTGGTTTAAGTTTGAAAATGTCGACAGTTTTCCTAGTAATCCATATTTAAAGACAAGGCGTATAATAAGAAAGACACATATTCTAGTACTACTTCCTAAAAATAAGGAACGTACCAAACTGACAGTGCATATGCTCATATAAGCGCTTGCTCTTGGTTAACTCAAATGCTATTTTTAGATCATTTTTTCCTAAATTGCATAACATGGTCATTCCAAACATAAAGTAGCACAACCGTCCTTGTTCTCATACAGTATGTGTATTTGTGATAAAGACCTACTTACCTTCAACTTCTTGCTCTTTAGTTTTGTATGGTAAACTGTTCGAATCTGATCCTTTATATTGATTCCTTAACGAAAAATGTAATATGCTACAGGTAGTTAATTCATAATCAATGATTTTACAAAACGTGAATAACAAATACAAGTGGTTACTTTTAAACTGATTTTTTTGTATTGACTCAATAGCTACAGTTCCTTGCAATAAGCGGTGTTTCTTAACAGCCGGAGAATGATCTTCCGCATTATCCTACTGTATTTTTTTTTCCAGAGACCGTATACAGAAAACGAGTGTCTTGTGATGGAAGACAGATGAATCTTGAAATATACGACCCATGTTCTCGAGTATGTAGAAAAATGCTTTTAAAATAAGTTTTGTTTGAAATTGTGAATTGTGAACCTTTACATAATATACTGTCGCAAAGCTGAAGAATAGATCAGGATTGATTACCGGTTGTTTGAAACGAAGGTATTAAACATGTATTGCATTGTTTCTGTGCAATTTTAAACTGTGGCTGATGTATTATATATTAGACATAATTTCAAGGCCACATACGTGTGACGTAGGTAAAATTAGTCTGTTTCAGGGTATCTCTGATGCAGTGAGCAATTTTGGTGTTGACTAACCCTGGTAATAATAATAGAACATACTGTACGCCTCAAAATGTATTTTATTCTGAAAATCGCAGAAGTATGTAGTGGAGCACTGTGGGGTATACCCCAGCTGTTAATGTTGTTCAGCAGATTTTCTATTGCTCTGCTGCAGGTATAACAGAATCTGCTAAATTCAGATAACAATTTAATAAACACTATTAGCCATATCAGAAAAATTTCAAGAACTGACACCCTTACATATGTATACAGTACATTGCAAATTCCTATTATTACAATGACAATTTTAAATTATTTTACATATTACACTGCAGCATCATATGAATACATTTGAAATCACAGTCAAATAATCTGCGAGATGTAAAATAAATTGCTTACCGCAAGCAAAGCACATACTTGCAGGGATCAGCATTAATCAGAAAGAGCTATCATATGCGGCTAAGGTGCTTTCAGGTGTGGCTCTGCTTTTACTGATTCCCAAGTTACTGTAAAAAAGTCACGGTGTTTTTGGTTTACATGTCAAAAGAACACATTTTCTCAATTGAAGAGTAAAGACTGAGATATCCTTAAATCACACTTGGTGGCACATGGTTACAGTTCTTCTGAGGGTTGCATTTTATCATTGTCAGAATTTGGTTCATTTGCCTTCTGTTCTCTTTTTTGGCATATGCTCCCCCAGTAAATGAGGCAACAACCTCTTGCAATCCCTAAACAAGCTACCTAGTTGAGTCCACCGTATCACGCCACCTGCCTGCATTAACGCCACATTTCAGTTTAAAGAGGCTGGCCTTGCCTAGATGTAAAGTGTCCAGGTCCCAAGACAAAAGGTGGAATGTAATATCTTCCATTACTTCAGGACTGACTTCAAAGATGAGAAGTGACCTGGGCATCGAGGCACCTCCACCAAGGATGAGAACTGATGCGTCATCAGAAGCATGATTAGAAAGGACATGTGAGGGAAACACAACATACCTCTTCTTGACATCATAAAGATTCCCCAAAAATCTTTTTTGACTAGATTCTAGACTTTTACTAGATTCCAAAGCAATGGCAGCTGTCTCTTATGTATGTTTAGTGTGTCATAGGAGAAGGTGGCACCTTGGAAACTTGTTAACATCTGCCCAGCAGATAATTTGTAACCAATGGCAAAATGCAGTGGTACTGTATATATATTTGAATTATATACTATGTCCTGTTACGACTTGGTTGGGAGTGACTCTCATCCCGCCGTTGCCAGTGGCAGCCTGAAGGTTTGCAGGAATTCTCAGCCTTCCTCCAAACCCATGCGGACGAGATCGGTCCACGTTTCTATTAGACTGCCTGCCTTCCAATTAGGCAGCCAGTCTTATTCCCAGTCATCCCATAAGATTGGCTATTTAAGACAGCTCTCTCCAGTGCGTCAGGAGTGGTAAAATACCAGTACATCAGAAAAGACACTGAGCTTTCCTGAGCAGAAGCACCTGCTCCATCTAGCTGCTTAGGAATGTCTTTGTTCCGGCACTGATCCAGTGGAGACTCTCCTTCTCCCGGGCAAGCTATTGCCAGCCCTCCTAAATCATTATTCGCTGGTCTCTGCCATTTTCCAGAGGGTCCCACTGTCTGTCTCCTTAAGGCGGTTTTCTCTTCAACTGAACTTCTTGCTTTTTTTCTGCGGACAGCCCTCACCCAGCTTCCCCATCTATCTATCTATCCTTCCTCTAACATTCAGCCTGCCTGCTTTATGTTTCTCCATTCAACACTCACAGCCTCACTTCCACCGAGTCTCTCTGGAAACTCCCGAAGATGCCCTGGGCCCCGTGCTTGGGTTTCAGCTTTTCATCTCGTAACAGTCCTTAGTTTAGGGTTTTTTTTTTCTTAGATCTTAATCTTATGGAGAATCGATTGCCTAAGCAATTGATCATTCTCAAACGTGTTCACTTTTGGATGAAATTCATAGAAAGAGAATTCAAATGGACTGGGAGCAGTTTGCATAGCTGTGTTGCCCCTAACGACCAGTACGTTTGCACGGGGACTCAGCATGTGGGGAACCCCTGCGCAGACTCACTCGGGGCGCATCGCCCGGCCTCCGTTTATTAATTGATTGGGCACACCCCAGTCCTCCAGTTGAGCAATTTGAGCTCCTTGAGCACATTGAGATAACACTCAGTATCAATTCCTAGAACATCGCTGCTAAAGCACTGACTAGGCAAGGAATTCGTTTCCCCTTGAGCTGCACTTATTCTCCTCTGTCGCAAGTCTGTCTCAGAAATCCCTCCAAGTCTCACCGAGCACCTGCACTTGGAGCTTGTCTGGCTCCTCGTCAAGAGAACTGGATCACGATGGCTTTTTCTTCAACTTCAGATTGGATACAACTATGAAAATAAAATTAGTGATTTAGTAAATTAGTGATATTTCTCTTTTTTTATTGTTTACACTTGGCTACTGATACAGGGGATCTGGAATAAATCACTTTAAGTCATTTACATGTAAATATATTCATCAACCCTGCAAAATTGAACTTACTGTATGTAGAACTTTAAATGATGTAAATGGATGAAAATGTAATGAGTTTCAAAATATGATAAATGGACATTTATTTCTGCAGCCGTGTGAAGGACAATCCTCCCTTAATGACCAAGTCCATTGGGCAGATGGGTTTGTGGTTGTTTATGACATCAGCGATAGATCCTCCTTTACAACTGCAAAAGCCATTATTCATCTGATAAGAGAGCTACAGCTGGGAGTGGCCAAAAGGTAAATATGTATGACCTCGTTTTTAGATAATAATAGAGTGATTTGCTTTCATTATAGACTAATAAGGGCTATGTTAGCGTGAAGGAAATTTATGCCGGGCTTAAAGGCTGAAATGTAAACAAAATGAAAAATATGATATGACATTTTTATGTATAGATTAGCAATGTCTATCTTAAAATTCACATTCACCATCAGCAAACATACCGTTGTCGATACATTTCTGTGTTTCAGCAGGCTTTTAGCGATCTATTAATCGCTACTTTTCAATTAAATATTTTTTTTTCTAACTAATGTTTGGATCAGTGATGTAATTGCCAAAGAATGACACAGCACCTTATCCAAGCAAGCACACTCAAGGAAGAAAGCAGCAGCTTGAGCAGAAATGATGGACTATTATGATGTGTTATGAAATGCAACACCCCTGACAAATGTAATTAAATGACACTGCTTTCAGATATCGGTACGTCATATACACGTACGTTTTATGTATTCAGAACATCAGTTCAAATTCATTGGCTAAAATTAATCCCGTTAATGTTGGTGATTGCATTCTTGCCTTGCAGGGACACAGATTCTGTGGTTTTCCTGGTTGGAAACAAGCAGGACCTCTGCCATATGAGAGAAGTTGACAGAGAGGAAGGGCAGAAGCTGGCAACAGAAAATAAATGCCAGTTTTATGAATTGTCAGCAGCAGAGTATTTCCAGGAGGTGGCAGTTATGTTCTCAAAGGTCATTCGGAACACCAGTGTAAACAGCAAAGTTAAGGACAGGAGGAGGCCGAGCGGCTCAAAGTCAATGGCCAAGCTCATCAACAATGTCTTTGGCAAAAGAAGAAAGTCAGTGTAGAGCTGGATTTTGTGTAATCTATTATATCCACACTATGGACCAGAGAATAACCTGATGGATGTTTTTTTTTTTTAACTTGTTGTCATTTTACATTATTTGATGAGGCATGTGAATCATCTTTGTTTCATATTTTAAAAAAATATTACTGCATTTACGTTAACATAACAACAAAGTCAAATCTTAACAGGTATATCATCATCTTTGTACGGTGACTGGTGAAGTAATGGAAACTAATCTTTTAACTCAAAAGACACCAAAGTATTTTCATTAGACAAAATAAACCTGATGTTTATCAATTTGCACTTAGTGATATGGGAATTTATACTGCAGTGTTTAAAAGATGTATAATAGTCTCAAACACCCTAGAGGCACACTGGCCGTGTCAGAGTCAGGAATCAATGAAGAAAAAATTTCTTCAGCAATTTACAGAAAAAAAAACAAAATCAAATAGTTTAGTTCTGGTCTGTTCTAGTTGGTGTTTGATGACAGGTGACACCTTGCCTCACTCAATGTTATGTCAGTGTTGAAATGACCAACATGTAGCAGATATGTCTTGAACAACTAAAAGCTAAGGCACTTAAAATAAAGAAATATGAGAAAATAGGCAATTTGCATTGTTTCCTAAATGATTGTTTAATACTGATTGAGCTATTTAATACTTGTATTGTACTGTAGTTTATTGAATAAAGCTTCCCCTTTTTCTTACATGCGGTGGTTTATAAAGTGAATACATTGCTCTGTATAAAGTACATGTAGCTGGCTGTAAAACTGCATAAAAATAACTTTTAAAAAAAATGTTACAATGGTTTTAATTATAATGGCATGGGCATTAGTGATCTACAGTTCTTTAAACAGCATTTCAGATCAGAAAGTTCTTTTATAGGACTTGGCAGTTCTCTGTGTCCTATCAATACTAAACACACTAAATTTCTAAATTTAGTGAATTCAACTAGTTTGGTGGAGGAGATCGCTAAAAATCCACTTTATGTAGCTCAGTCTCATTTTGTGTAAGGATTCCTGTTGTTCTTGACAATAACCAACTGGTCTGCCATAAAACATCATAAAACAACCAGCCTGACACTAGAGGCCTCCAAAAGCCTCTTTCAGTTTTACATGGTTTCACTGGTGTCAGTTAAATATTATAATATGGGTTAGGGGTAGATTGCATTTTCTCACGGGTGATAATTAGTTATGCGTTTGTCTATAATTAGTGCTTTCACACTTAGTGATGGTTCAGTTGTAGATAGCAGTCTGAGGAGTTTAGCAGTAATAGAGAACAGGGGGTTTATTTTAAAGAGTGTTTTATGTACAGTATAAGACCTGCATAAACTCTGCAATAAAGCTTCCTGCACCTTAAAATGACCATCCTTGTGGGATTTTATATGTGCTCAGATCCCTGGAATCATCTTACTAACGGATGGGGTCTGTCACACATCCTAACACAAGTTCTGATCTAGATCTAGTCTAGATCAGGGATGACAATGTTATGGCTTACAGGACAAATCCAGCCCACAGGCATGGGTGATCCCATGGAAATACAAATATTCATTTTCTTAATTTTTGTGCAAACTATAAGGTTCACTGCCTTATCATTAATTGGAGGACTAATATGAAAGCTTGTTGTTGTGTTTTTTTTTGCCCATTCTGACCCAAATACACAAATGAACTGCATGAAGATGAAAACAGCACAATGATGTCTTGAGCTTTTTTAATATCTATCCCTCCACAGGCTAAGAGCAGCAGCAGCAGGACTATAGGCATATCATTTGGGTTCTCAGATCCTCCTCCAGTTCAAATATTATTGAATAGGGTTACAGTATTTCTATAATCCTTTACTACATTCTCTCCTTCATCAGTAGAATAGTTGAGCAAGCTTCTATGTCTGCTTTTTTGCCCTCTGTATGAGAATGATATACATTCATACAATAATTTCACAAATAATCTTTTCTATATTAATTATATTTATATTAATAAATAATTATTGGCTGCTGTCCCAACCTCATGCAGTCATGATGACCTCTCCTATCACGAGCTCCATTGCTCTCAATTTATCACCATTGATGCTACATGTGTGAATGAGTTTGTAGCTATAATGAAACCTATGTACAGTATGCCTCATCAATGAGTCCCTGAAATCTCACTTAAAATCTGTGACTATCACACCTCTGTTAAAAACAAAACTGTCCTGGACCCCTAGATATGTAATAACTATTGTTCTATTTCCAGTTTGCCTTTTCTTGCAGGAATTCTGCAAGAACGACCAGAACAGGAAGCTGCAGCTCAATTGTAATCTTATATCTAATGAGCTTTTTGCACCTTGAATTGAAACAGCCTCTTGTTGAGGTCGTAAGTGATTTTGCTGATGACTTCTGATTCTGAGTTACTTAGTATTTTTCTCCTTCGGCCACCTTTTTGATATATTTACAATGCTATTCAGACCCTTTCAAAGTCTTCAAATCCTGCTCGATTACAAATAATACACATTTTTTTCCCATCAGTACTTTTGTTACAAACTCACATGCTCAATCAAAATTTAAAAAAAAAATAAATTAGTTCTATCACAGCAGATATCTTAAGGACAAAATCTGAAATATTTATACGCATTCTTATTTTTGGTGCTCTTTTTCTGACCTATGCATTTTTATCACTTTCTCTCTAACTTCCTTAGAATGCTCTTTAGTCTTCATTTATCAAACCTTTCCTTCAGATTCACTGCCTGACCAATGATCCTTAAACAGAATTTGTTTTTTATCCAGTAAAATGTCACTTCAATGGTACACAGGCAGAGGCCGATGGTAAGGCAATTATTTCTGTCAACTTAGAGCTACCAGAGCACAGGAGACTGAATATGCGAGAAGCATATTTTAGTTTTTGACTTTCTTTAACTGTCTTTAGGATATCTACTGACATAACTAATTTTTCTTTTAAACGTTTCTGTTTGAGCACATGGGTTTGCAATAAAAATACTGATTGAAAAAAGACATTTATCATTTGTAATCCACCAAAACTTGAAAACTTTCAAAGGGTATAAATACTTTTTCAAGGCTTTATATATACTGTATATACTGTAACGCTTACGGCCGACAAGCACTGTGTGTAAGAGCCGGCGTACCAGAGCGGGTGACGTCACCGCCCTTCCCTGTGATAGCAGGACCACAGCTACTGGGCTGTGGAGAGATCTCTCTTTAGCTCACGGGGCTGGGTCGCTGCAGAGAGACGCGGAAGTCCCGGGTTCGAGCCCCGGACGGTGCAGGGGCTGACCAGATGCGGCAAGGGCGCCCGCCTGACCCCCTGTTGCGTTACAATACTATATATACACAATACTGTATCACAGTGTCCTATGGGATCGCATGGAACATTATCTAGGGATCACTGGTACTTCCCTTGTTTTAATTCTTATTGTGCTACCTGTAGCCAATTCATAAACCTTGGCTATATTACTGATTCTGCCCCACTCATTCCCACTCAGTATACACCACAGGGTTCTGTTCTTGGATTTTTTTAGTGTTTTTTAATCCTGTCTCTTGGTAAGATTATATCATGGTTTTACATGACAATATTATGCTGATTACACTCAAAAGTTACTTGCACACCAAATCAGATATTATTACTGTAGTTCTACTGTACAGGTGACTACCTGATATGGACCCAACAGAACTGTCTTAAGGTGTGATAAGACTGTGATAAGACTGAGGTTGTACTCACAGACTCCCAACTGCTTTGCAAAGCTGGTGACTTCAGAGTTTCATACTACTAAGATGTATTCTTCCTAAAGGAAATTGGAAATTTGCCATTACTTTTTAAACACATGAAAATTAAAACAGCATCTTTATTCCACATGTTGTCACGATTATAGTCCTCCCTCCTTAAGGGTGCTCCAGCCCTTTCACTTAGACTTTATTCTGTGCACCTGTTTCCTATTCCCAGCCCACCTTAAAAGCCAGGCGCTGACGCTCATCCGGGCTCTGCATCTGATTTCCATATCGTGCGAGTCCGGGACCTGGAAGCGCCTGGTCCCGTTAAGGTTTTAATCTCCGTTCCCGTTCCCGTTCCCTCTCCGCCGGTTCCGACCCGGCCTTCGTGGTTTTTTAATTCTTGCTCTGATGGATCTCCTGGTTTTGGACTTTCTCGTGTGTTTTGGATATTCCCAAAGGACTACTCTCGGATTGTTCGCCTCGGCCACACCTCCCCCGTGCACCAGCGCACCTTGGACACGCCCCCCTGTCTTCAGCCCCGTTTTCCTGCATGACGTTTCCCTGGTGTTTCCCCACTCCGTCGGACTGTGTCTCCGCATAGGGTCCGGAAAGAACTGTTCGTTACACATGTGTAACGTTTCTTGGTTAAGACCCTTGTTCTATCTGATGCAGAAAATGTTATAGTTTAATCATCTCTAGAATGCTGTTATGCTTTACTTACAGGGGTATTTTCTAAGGCACCAAATAGACTTCAGTATGTTCTGAATTTTATATCTCATTACTCTGCATCAGTACATACATTTTGTTCTCTTTAAATTACACTGGCTCCCAATGAAATATAGAGCTCACTTTGAGTTTTGTCCTGATCACATCAGGCACTGGATGTTCTCCAGTTAAAGATGGCTCTACAGAGAGAATGTCTGTAATACCAGTTTACTTTTTCAATGCGGAATTAACCTCTTCTTGCTCTTTTGCTGATCATACACTGCTCCATGCACTACATTCTTTGTAGTCCCACCAAGTTTCTAGAATTCTAGACTACCATTTAGTATCTTTTGACTAATTTCACAAGACCTTCAGCTTGATTAATATTTACTGGTGTAACACAAAGACAGAAGGTCTTTCCTCTGCACCTATCCAAAACTGACGTAACTTAACCACAGCATAATTCATTGAGCGGACAAACTCATAGAAGTTAATAACTTAAGTTTGACAGAAATAACAACAAGAAGTAAATCTCACCTAGCTGTTCCTAATCACAATCATTAGAGAACTTAGTAATGGATATCTAACACAAAGATCTCCTTTCATACATGCATCCCTCATCCACCCCATCTCCACCTTGCTGCTACCTCTTGGTTCTCCAACTCCTCTCTCCAAATGGGGCCCAATCTTCCTTGCTCTACAGCCAGAGGGCTATCCCTTAACCAAGCAGGTTAAAACAAAACTACCCTACCTAAAAAAGACTGAAACATTCATAAAGCATCTGATTCTCGGATGTTTTTGTCCCATATGGACTGTCTATTGTCATGTTCACTCTTGATTTACAGTTCAATTCTCACCAAGGATAAGAAACAAAAACCATTTCAGTCTTATGATAGTCAGAAATATTTATGTGGACTTTGATTTATGATGTTAACAGACTTCATTTTGAATTAAGAGTTCAATAAAAGTCTAAAGGAAAAAAATAGAAGCTGGATGTGTGGGACGTGGGATGTGAAGACAAAGTCTAACATGCTTCATGAGTTTCATAACTACAACATCTTTCATATGCTCTTGTTAGATGACATCTGTGTTGGGTTTACAGCTGTGCTTTCAGCTTTCTCACCCTTCCAAAAAGACAGCACAATGACTTTACCTATATTAATCTCTCCCTCTGGTTTCAGGAGGGAAGTAAATGCCCAGTGACACTATAGATAAAGAGAATAAACATTTTTCACTCAAGGCATAATATTGAATAATAAGGTCTTACAGTCGAAAGGCAGAAAATGTATGTCAACCTCATATCAG